GGCAATAAATTTGTGCCATAGAAACTCAGGAGGCATGAAAATGGCGCGGGGTAGTTCGGAATCTCTTCTGTCCTTAGCCACTGAAGCCAACCCGGTTTCCCGTTCGCTAAAGAATTTGCTTCTGAGGAATCGGAAAATGTCCCCTTCTTGGACTTTCCTCTGTTCATGTGCAGGTCTGTGTCAAACAAGGGCGAGACCAACAAATGGTTGCTCCGGGGGACCAACAAAAAAATGCTTGAGGTGGGTATGGGTCAACATTAAGCCACCAGGGGAACGCAGGTTTTAGTCTCTGTTGCCATTTGCCAGGGTTCCATCCTGAGTACCTATTTTTGACCCACACCCAGGTGTTTCGACCAATCCACCCCGAAATCCACCAGATCTTCATTTTGAGTGAAGCCCGGGCACGGATCTCCAGGCACATCTTCATGACGGCATCCTGGCATCGGATACGGTGGATTCCCAGGGCAAGTGAACCAGCGACGCAGAATCCGTGGTTTTTGGTTGTGTTAAGTCTAAGTTGAAGGGCGTCCAACTTGTGTTTCCCTATGCATACCTGGGACAAACGAACCTCCACACAGTTGCAACCAGTCCCGGAAGGTACTAAAAGGAGGCTCTTGGGATTAATTAACCCAAACCTCTAAACCCGGCAAACAGAAGGGATTCAGGAGGTCATAGGCCACGATTTCCAGGCAGGTCTGGCATCGTGACCACGTCCAAGTAAAACCTTCAGGTCCCCATCCCACCCAATCAGGATGCAATCCGCTAATGCTGACTTCGGATTGGCCCGGGCCGCACGAATCATGGGAGGTCTCCCTATGGAATGATATACTTTAGTGGTTTCCTTTCTTAGGGCGCACTTGGGTGAAATGGTCACTAAAGTCCTCCAACCATTTTAGTGGCACCACTTGTTGCTGACAGTTTGCTGTCTTCCAAAAGATTTCCACCAAAAAGGCTCAAGCCTACAAAAATCCGTCACAAGACAATTGAGGCCCCTCTTTTTCCCCTCCGCCCCCCGCCGCCCGCGACGAGCCCCGGGCCTTGCTGCCCAAGAGGCCCTCCACGGCCGTGAGGATCACCGGCCCCGGGGAGGCCTTCCGAGAAGGCTCCGAATCGAAGGTTTCCGCCCGATTTTTTTTGCTGCGGGGTCCGGGAATATACATACACACACATATATATATATATATATATGTACATATATATATATATATGTATTTATCGATCTATCTCTGTCTGTCTGTCTGTCTGTCTGTCTGTCTGTCTATCTATATGTGTGTGTTTTAGAAAAAGAAAAAACGCACTCACACACACACACACACAGAAATCCCCAGGCCCGGTTGGTGGGGTTCACCCAGCCATCTCTGACAAACTGGCTTTTGGTTGAGTGGGTCGGAGGTTTGGAGGCTTCCCATTTGCCCTCTGCAAAACCCAGGGTGCAACCCTAAGAAATCGATCCAACAACCCGGGCAATTAACCTGACCCTTGGCCCCTTGGCTGCTGTGTTCTAAGCCACAAATTGTGATTTTCGGATTTGCGCTTGCCGTCGCCATACGCCTTGCCACCGGGGAGCATTTGAGAGCCATCTGCGACCTTTCGCCTCGAATGGACCTTGAAAGCAGCTCCGGCAACTCCTGTCAGCAGCTCTCAGCACCTGACTCTCCGAGACTCCAGCCTTGGCGGCTGCCCGAAGATCAGGACACCTCTCATCTCCGGTAGGTACGTTGCTTCCATCAGCTGGCAAACCGAACGCCGTCTTGGCCATTGAACTGAACGAAGCAGTCTGATTCTTCACTTCCGTGGCAATACGCACCGAGCTCCGGTGAAATGCCATGAAGTCGAAACACCATTGGACCCACAAGTGGCTGCCTATCGCTAGGCCAGCCTTTTGCAGCTGCTGAACTACCTGAACCACCTATGTGAGAATTTGACCCCCAAGCAAGAAGCAAAATTAAAAGTCTGATCCTGTGTCCAGTTTTGGTGAACTCTCAAATACGGAACATGGTCAAAACTAATTTCCTGGGTGAATTTGCCAGGAACATGTCTAGACTTGTTGAACACCGTCTCAAAAGCGTTGCCCAGTCTGGACAAGGGCACCCAAAGAATCGGCCGATCCGGGGTTGACCATTTCCACCATGGAACCTGCAAAGGAGGACCCTGTTGATGGCTATGTAGCGCCCAGCCAGAGGACCTTTAAAGGAGGCGGAGGGTCGAAGGTCCGGAGCGCCTGAAAGTACTAGAACCAAACATTTGCAGTCTGCAAAGTGAAGGGGGCCGTCCGTTCCCAAGGCGGGTGTGGCTCAAAATTAAAAAGCTAGGGCTACGCAGCTTTTAGTCTTTGGTCCTATTTCCCAAGGTGCCATTTTGTTTTTTTTTAATTTGAGCCACAGCCAGGTGGAGAAACGAGTGCGGTTCGCACCTGCACCGCCAGCGCCAGGGACTCCTTCTGCGCCGGGGAGAGCTGCTCCGCGATGTTGCAGACCAGCACCTCGAGCGAGTCGGAGCGGGGCGAGGCGCGAGGCGAGTGCGTCCCTAGCGAGTCCTGTTGGAATGAGTTGATTGAAGCTTGTCCATGGCCCGAAAATGGGAGACCTGATCACTTGGAGATCCCTGGCGCATTGACGAATGGACAATCCTCCCAAAAAAAAAAAGTGTTTAAGTCCATGAACTCGAGGAGTTCAGTAGTAAAAAGGCCCCCGTATCGGAGCAGAGGCGTTGGCCGCTTCAAGGCGCGACACGAAATCAACCCCCGCAGCCAACCCCTTCCACCCAACGAGTTGACTTCCGATTGTTGAGCCTCTAAGCCTTTAGCGGAAGAGATGCGCACGATTGCGCACGTGACAACTCAAGCATCTGAATCTGGTGGGTGCGTCCGACTCAACAATTGACAGGGGGGGGGGGGGGATGGGGCACGGGCCCAAAACAAATTGGTGCTTTACTTCCGGCTTCTCGAAGCCATGCGCGGGGAGAGCCTTCTACACAACTGCGAGGGGTGGCAAAAGCTGGATGAGTTTCCTACTGCGCTGGCCCTGGGTCCCTGCACAAGCTTTGACCGTTGGCACGTGGGGTGCCTTCCCATGATCAAGATCCCATGGGTTCCGCATTTGGCTTGATGGACTGGCCATAGCGTCTCATGGCCAGACGGTTAGACGGTGTGTTCGGCCACTGACATCTGATCACTAGTAAATGTGAGTTCACCAGCCCCAATGAGCGTTCTGCGTTCGACGAACCTTCACTAAGGTTGTAAGATTTGCGCCACAGCGTACCTTCCGATCTCAAAAGGAGTACTCCAAAACTGGATGTCTTGCTTCCATTGGAACCCAAAGGCAACCTAAAGAATGGATCGAGCCGATTTGGCCTGCCTGACATCCCCGCAAAAACCAAACAAAACCTAAACCACCAAAGCCGAGCGCGCCTGCGACATGGCATCCTCGGACAGCTGGTTGCTGTTCCTGGCAGATTTGTTTCGCTCAAGCAGCTGTGGGAGCAACTGTTTCAGTATCTGGTGGCAACATCGGGGTATGTCTCAAACATGCCGGAAGCCTCCTGAAGGTGTTGAAAAGGAGAGCCGGAGCAAAGCAACCGCGAGGGAACTCGAATTTTGAGACCCATTTTGAGCGCAAGCCCGCTTTCAATTGGGACGTTGCGGCAGTGCAATCCCTCAAATCGGCAGTTGTTTTTTGCTTGACAGAAGTTCTTTCAGGGGTACCAGTACCATCCATTCCACTTCGAAACCACGATGCCGGGATTTGGCCCACTTTGTAAAGAGAAAGGTTCGTGAAACAGCACGGGGTACAGCTGGAGTTAAGCAAAGGAATGCCCAAATGCCTAAGAGTAAGCAACAATCACTAGCAGGGACAAGTAGCACACAACTGCTTTTTCGGGAAATGGGTGGGTAACTGTTGGGGTCCTTGTGCTAACTGAAGTTTGCTCTTACGTCAATGACAAAGCCGACTAAAGGCTTTGTTTGAAGCAAAGTCTTTAGGATGGGAAATGACCAACCGACCGTGAAACAGGAGCCAATTGAATTCTATCGATCCTCAAAGCAGCTCCCGAAAAACATATCCATGGGTGAGGTCCCCATGTCGTTAAGCTTTGACCAAATGAAAGCCCAAGCCTGGGTTGAAAGCAGTGTGGCTCGCTGGCAGAAACCCTCCCACCAGTCGGAAGCATACGTTGGAGTGACATCCGCAGTTCCCCTGCAATTGGCGGCTTTACGAAAAATCATCTCCCCCCCACACACATGTAGTTTCGAGAGTCCTGAACATGAGTGCGCGACCCTTAAGGTCTCCCTGTTCTATGCAACTAATGCAAGGGCGGCCACGAAAAGCAAGTCTGAGTCTTCGGTGTGGGGATCAAGACCGCACAAGCCCAGCGGAGCCCACCCACTTGTCCGCGCCCCTTTGAAAGATAGGGAAATCTCCTCCAGTAAAGCGACATCAGAATTGCCCTCCGGTGGTTTGAAGGGAAATCATTCCGAAAGGAGCTTTACAACCCTTTGAGGGGCCCCGAACCGACAGAAACGCCTCTGCTTCTTCGCCAGGTTCTCAATGAAACTCCTCCCCTGCAAGTCTGCAAGGTCGTACCTCGCTGAAGCCAACCTGGTTCCCAGTTCCCGCTTTCCCCACGGGTTTTCCACGAGTCTCCACAGAGTTTTCCAGTTTGCTCGAATGTCAGGCTCCGCTTGATGGAAAGGGTGGTTCCATGGTCACCTATGTTGGAAAATGGAGCACACCAACCCGCTGATAGGGGGGAAGGGATGTTTCAAACGACTCCGTTGTATATATATATATATATATATGTTCCAGGCCGTGGACCCCCCCCAACCCCCCCCCCCCCCTGTGGGGGTGGGGGGGCTGTATGGTCTAGGGAAACCCATATCTATGGGGGCGGGGGGGGGTTCCACGGCTGAGGGAGCAGAGAGGCAGAAACATTCCAGGTGTAGGCGCAGGCGACCAGGTGTTCTAACCAAATGTGTTCAACGTGTTGTTATGCCTGAAGTTGAGGCTCTTTTTTTAGGGTCATTCACGCGGATGTCATTGCATTGCCAAACCAGGAAAAGCGAGTTTCATCCTCTGTGGCTTTTGTCAATGGATGTTGAAAGCGGGGTAGCAGAAAAACAGTTTTGCCTGGTATGTTCGAAGGGGAATATAACCGTCCTCTACGGTGTTCTGGTAGTTCCATGTGGCGCAGGATCGATTCCACCAATCTTAGGCTTTATCTTTCCGGTTAGATGGGGCAGGGTCGTGAGCTTCGGCAAGGTGTCTAGGCGGACGTTCGTTTTGGGCGGCTTGCGAAGCTCGAGTCGGGAGGGGGGGGGCGGGAACCGCCGCAGAGCGGCATGGCCTAGATGGAGGCTGTCGGGGAGAGGCGCCGGGCGGCATGTCTTTGCCGCTGGAGGTAACTCCACAGCGGGCTCCACGGAGCCAGGCCTGGGGAAAAGCAAGCTACGATATCAGTGTTGTGTAGATATATATGTTGCTTCAGCTTGCTTCCTGTTTGGGGAGACAACAAATGACGAGAAGCAAACTTCCTGTCACTCTTGCTGCAGGAATTAGATGCGGCTCTTTCCTTTGTCCGGCTTTTCCAGAAGCATGGTCTTGGAACGTACTTCTCCTAGATTCTTCGAAGAAGAATGCACTGGTGAGCAGGCCGCAGCTGTCGACACAAGCCTTTCTCCAGCATCTTCCCGCTCCTGTGACCATGACTTTATCACATTTTTTTCACGCTTGGGGTTCTTCTTTTTTCCAGCGGGGAGAAGGGGCACTGGGAACAGATGCTTGTCAGGACTGGCTCCAGATGGATGCGCACTTCTTTATGCGCCCTAACCTGGCCTCCCTGGTCATGGTTGACTTGGACGACCATGACGGATCTTTACAAGATGTGCTGAGCCTTGCTCCTCGAGCACTGGTGCAGACATCCCCACGTTGCTTCCAGATCTGGTATACGCTCGATCAGAGGTTTGCCGCCTCGGACGCTGCCACCGTGACGAGGGAGCTGAGTCAGATCCTCGGCGGGGATACGCGGAGTGCCCGCACGACTCAGGTCGGGCGAATGCCCGGCAGCATCAACAGAAAGCCACAAAAGATGGCTCCTGCCATGCTGCTGCACTCATGCCTACAGAACCTGAACGAGGCCCAATACTTGCACATGGTGCGGCCGCCTTTGCTGCGGCTGCAAGGCGGAGGTGTCCACGTGGAGGCTCTCAAAGACAAGCCCGTGGTGGATAGATCTAGGGAAGACTGGGGCATCGCTTGTCGCTACTTCGAGAGCCATCCTGCAGCGACGGTTGACGATGCTGTGCGGGACTGCCAGCTGACCGCTACTCGCCCCAACCAGGCAGGTCCTCTTTTGGAAGCAAGGGCCCTCTATATTTTTTTAGGATCATTTTCATGTGTGTCTGCTTGCTCCTGTTTGACACTGTCGTCCTTGTTCAGGGTATTTGGGGTAGACCGCCACTTAAGTCAGTCCATCCTTGCATGACCCGCAGGAGTACTATGTCAGAAGAACCTTCGGGCAGGCGCTACGCCATGTTCGGGAACAGCTCGGGGACCGTTCGGTGACTCCGGCATCAGAGTCAAGTGCCGCCGGTTCTGGCGGTGTAGTCCCTGCTCAGCTTGGCAGTGGCTTGGGGGGTTCCCACAGCGGCAACGGCGTCACACGTGACCAGGTGTGGCAGATCGTGCAGGAGGCCTTGCGCCAGCGGGACCGTGCAGAGGCTTTGCGCCTCTTGTCGGGTGAGCAAGAAGAGACCTCTCTTTGCTTCCGGGCAGTGGGCCAGTGGGAGCGGGGTCTGCCTTGAGTGCAAGCCTGTAGACGATCGCCTGCAAAAGCGCGCCAAGACCTCCAAGGTGTGTGCTCTCTGTGCACAGGATTGCCCTCGCGCTGACTTCTCTGCAACGCAGTGGGCCGCTGGCGCGGCGGCAAAATGCTGCCGCTGTGTGGCCAAGGCTGCACAGGATTCCATGAAGACTGTCAAGACCTGCAAGGTCTGCTCGAAGCTCTTATGTAACTTGACGATTTCCAGCCGTTCCCTTAGCTTCCAAGGATTGAACGGTTTAGCGGGGGCTTCCATTTAATCTACTAAATGTCAACCTTTTAGCAGGGGATCTCAGGGCAGCCCAGGCAAGGACGAGTTCACTCGGACACAGTGGGACCTGCCGGCTGCTGCGGGGTCTGCCTGCAAGAGCTGCTGCCAGCAGCGGGTAGCGCACCGGCAAACCAGTTTTGCAGATGAGCGGAAGCGCGTGCCTGTGCTGGCGCGCTCACTGTGGCCCCAAGGCATTGCCCCTGAGTTTGCGGCCCGTTGGATTCTGGAGGCCGGCGACTTGGATCTGCCAAGCGAAAACCTGAAGAGCTACCAAGCAATGCTGGCCAGACAGGGTGTTGCCTCCTTTGCTGAGCGAGCTCCGGCACCACAGAAAAAGAGCGCGTTGGGCCCTGAGAAAAAGCTGCAGTACTTGTCTGCGAGCCATCAAGACATGGCCCACCTGGGCGGACGTGACGGCATACTGCAGGCTCTCAAGTCCACAGACCTGACATGGCCCCTCATGAAGCTGGACGCAACTTTTTTTGTGGAGCGGTGTCAGGATGGGCGGGGCAACGTCTACTTGAAGGGCGTGCGTGTTTCCGGGTCCCTCCCCCTGTTGAAAGCAAACTGGTGAAGCTCAGATGGGCGGGGCGTAGTCAACAGTTTCCGGGCCCCTCCCCCTGTTGAATGAAAGCCAATTGCGAAGTTCAGATGGGCGGGGTAGCATCAACTTAAAGGGCATGCGTGTTTCCGGGTCCCTCCCCCTCCCCCCGTTGAAAGCCAACTTGTCACGATCAGAGAAGAACGCGGAACACACGGAACCATTTTACGCCTTGTTTGGCCCTTTCAGCAGCGCAGGATTTGTCCCATTGCAGGATGTTGAGACGAGCGAGATGGCTTTTCTGCATGTGACTGTTGCAGCTTGTCATACACAGCTGTGCATTCCGCATAGACCATCTACTCATATGGGCGCACCTTGTCAGACTGACTGCCTGGGAGTCGATCAGTGTCCTTTGAGCCTTGCTCACGCTGCAGGAAAGAAACACGCATCGCTAAGGGGGTAGAGAGACGTGACTATAGAAACGTGACTAGAGACGCGACGCGAGATGTGACAAGAGTCCGCTTTCGTGTCCGCATTCGGGTTCGTGGCTTCTATCAGGTTTTCTTGGTTTCATACCTGTTATTGGACGCCCTGACAGGAGTGCAGACGGAATACCACGCGGGACACCATTGAGTCTCGGCCTCGCCACTTGCCTCGTCCAGGGCAAGCTGGAGACGTGATCGGATGGGATCTGAAAACAGTGGTGCCGGTGAGGGGGTCCAAATGGACCATGCTTCTAGCAATCGACTTCACGTCGTCGAAGGCGCGAGGGTTACGGAATCGAAGATGAACAGGTTGGTTCCGTCATGCAGGACACACACCGCAGAAGCGGCCAACCTAAACCCCTTGAGGTGTGGACATGGGACCTTGACTTCAAGAAGGCCAACCTCCAGGAAGTCCAATCGAGAATGATCAAGTTTTACCAAGAGGTCGAACTGCCCTGCTGCTGCTGGACGGACAATGGATCGCAGTTCCGCAACCTTCTCTCAGCGGCGATTGAACTCACTCTCGGTGTCCGTGCGATGACAATACCAGCCGGTCGTCCACAATCGAACGGGATTGTTGAGATCAGATCCCGAGCCGCAAAAGCAGTGGTCGTTTGGCCCCCTTCTAGAAAGCATGTGAGCTGAATCTCCTCCTGCTTGCAAAGCTTAAAGGTAAGGGCTAGCCCTTGATACCTTGTTGCACCCCCCCTCCGCTGTGATGTCCGAGGAAACAAGATCTTAGATCGCGCTGTTCAAGGAGATCGAAGCCGATTAGGCACGGCCACCGTTGCCTACAACCAGAAGAATCTCACCACATGCGACTTGCCCCCGGAGACACTGTGGAGGCTCCTCAGGCCACAAGAGAGCAGATGGCGGTACTTCAACCTGAAGGCAGCGGCTGAAGCTCCAGCGACCATGACTGATGGTGAGTGGCACGCCTTCCTGGACGCAACGCAATGGGATAAGCAATCTCTACAGGATAGAGCGAAGGCCCTGCACGCCGTCATCAACCCATTGCGGCGGGCCATGCAGAGCAAGCAGCTGCGGGCGCAGATGAAGACCCAGATGAAGTGGCTCCGCAGAAAGCACAAGAGGGCAGCCATGCCACTGCTTGCGGGGGACATAGTGCTGTCCAGAGCCACACAGTACACGACACGGTGTGGGCCGCATAAGTTCGAGACGAAGGGCGGTGGTCTGAGGACGTGGGCCGTGCTGCAAGTCCGTCAAGGATTTGTCCAGGTGCAGGATGCTGCGACGGGCGAGATTGCCTGGAGACACGATTCGCACCTGAAGCTCATGCCGCGGGCCGTGGCGGCCGACAATGACAACCAGAATATGTCAGCGATGCAGTCTCCGGAGACGGTGATGCCTGCGTGGGACGTCGTCCGGGCTGCCGCGGATGGTGCGTGCCTTTTCAGGTCGCTGGCTATGGGCTGCGATGCTGCTCGTGGGGCCACAGCTGCTGCTCTGACAGACGATGCGGGTAGTGCGGCGGAGATGCGCGAGACGCTGCTCATGCACTTGGAGTGTCGCGCAGACAACGCAAAGAACGATGATCTAATAAGCCTTCAGCTGCAAGTGGAGGCCGAGATGCTGGACGACCCCATTTGGATGCAGGACCATGCTGCTGATGCCTGGTCGTGGCCGGACTACTTCGCCTTCATGTCACGCCCTGGGAGTTACGGCACGGCCGTGCATTTGCAGACTTTCGTGGAAAGCCACGAGATGGCGATCGAGGTGTGGGAGAATATCGCTCCCCATGGCAAGCTCACGTGCACGTGGCGCGAGGGCGAAGCCTTTAAGAAGGCTGTGCGTCTTCTGCGGTCGGGCAACCATTATGATCTGCTCGTCCCTCGGAGACGGTTGCGGCATAAGACCAGCTGCAAGTGATGGTCCGATCAAGTATAAAAGATGTTCTTTCGCCGCAGAATCAGACATGGAGGTGTTTTGACGCATTTGGAACATGAGCTTTGTGGTAGCAACTGATCACCAGACATTTGTGCACATGGATCTGCTGCTCTTCTCGCATGTCTCGAGAGCTTGCAAGGGTCTTTGGTGTGACGCCAAAAACCATGGATCCAGTCCTTTGTTAAGAACCCCTTTTGTTGTTAAGATTGACACAAGAAGAAAAGCTACATTTTTTCAGGGTTTCTTTTAAAAACACTCTTAGACCTTTTGAAATCAAACGGGTGTGTCTCTTTTTAGGGTGCCCCTCGGATGTGGTGTTCAAGGGAAACCTCAAAGACACCCACCATTTTAGCGGGTCTCCCTCAAAAAAAAAAACACGCGGATCGCACTTCCGGCGGTGAGTGGTGGGGTTGGTGACGAGGGTCGACATAGTTTCGTGCGGATTTGCGTAGTGGCAGTTTCTTGGAAATCTCGCGGGCGAGTAGCCCTCAGGCGGGCAGGACGGGATCTGGGACCACCAAGGGGGGGGGACCATACCATTGGGGGGGGGGGGGGGGTACGTGGCCCAGGGACTGGTACATATATACATATTTATGTAAACATATGGTAACTAATTCCTTGGTGATCTAAGCTTCCGTGGTCTCCAATTGCCCTAGACCACCTGGACAAGGATGGAGCTGCCGATGCGAAGTTCCAACTGCCACCACAAAATTTGCGCCAAGGATCACTGCTTTCCAACACCTCGCATAGCATCGGCTCCGCATAGCCTAGCATGAAAACCTGCTTTGAATGCCTTTAGCAGCCTGCACGGCACGTCAGAAACAACACAACAACAAACACAACACCACAAACAAACAACACAACACAGCACAGCCCAACCCACCAACCAAGCAACAGGCAAAGACACAAACACACAAATACACAAACGCACAAACATACAACATACAAAAACACAAACACACAAACACAAAAACCCACAACCACACAAACACCAAACACACGACAAGCACAACCACACAAACAATATATTCATTTGTCCGGCAGCACCCTTCCCTAAATGGGGTGGGGGTGTCTGCATTTTACATCCCTTGCTGGTTTCTTTGCCGGAGGAAACCATTGTTGTGGGCAATGTAGCACCCAGCACACCAATCGATGCATAAAACATGTGCGTGAGAAAAGCAACATGTCGACGACCCCCACCCCCCGCCCACTGAGACACCCGGACTCTACGAATTGACCCCGCCTTGCTTGAGGCATTGGCGTTGGCGAGATGTGAGCATCGAGGGAGGGGCGATAGAACTGGATGCTGAATGTTGGAGTTATGAAAACACGCTGCACAAGAAGCTCCCCTACCTCAGGGAAGTATTCTGTGATTAGCCTCTGCTCCAATCTGCTCTAGAAAGACTCTTTCCCCGAGGGACGGATCACAGCACTTCACTCGCCATGTTTCTTCTCCCAGGCTCACACACAGGGGGGTGATGCCCCGACGTGAGATGCACCTTATGCACCATGGAATCAGCCTTCATGTGGTTTGCTTGTCTGAATCCGTGTGCACTTGTCACGCTCAACAACCAACATCAAGGCAGGAATTGCAGTTGATATGATATGCAGCTTCACCAAGTAGCTCCATATATGTCATTCTCCCACACGACCAACCAGGACAGAACACAAAGATCAGGCAAGCGGCAAGCAAGGCAAGCCATTGGTTTCAAAAACAACGCTGCACGCAGCAAGCTGCGCTACATCTCTTGAACTCTACCGGGGAATGGCAAAATCAAGACACAAGTCCTGTAAACGTCAGTGCTTTGAGAATGAAAGACATCCCGTTTGTTAGCAAGCAACACAAACTCAACACCCACGGTCTTTGAGCTTAGAGGTGCTAGGCCTCATGACGCCCCAGTCACTAACAACGTTCTACCGTTGATAGAACGACAGCAGCACCTGTTGAAACCCTTCAATTGGGATATAGACTTTTCACCTTGGGCAATCTACCAGCCGGATTGGATTTCTGCCGCATCTTTATCGCCTTGCGATCTCTCTGCACTTGCGCTCAGAGATTGTACACCTAGGCCTGTGGGTGCGCTCTTTCCAGGGAGGCGGATTTGAAGTGGATGCCAATGGTTTTCGTTGAGCTACGACAGCCACTAAATCAAGGATTTAGACATGCCAAACAAATACGAAACACACGGACCTCTTTTGCGGGAAGCGTCCTGGGACCGCTTCCCAGGCTTTATCATTGTCTCCCCCCGAGCGCTTGCAGCCCGAGTTCCAAAAAAAAACTTTTGGCGATTGCCCCTCCAAGCGAATATGGGGTCTGGAAAACACACCGTTCCCCAACACTTTGAAGCCGTTTAGATTGGAACGAGCATTTGCCGATGGACTGCCATGCACCCTTGGCCAGTTGAATGCCTCGTCAAATCCTAAATACCAGCCAAGCTGGAAAGAGAGATCACGCTGGGAACCCTGTATCAAATTAGTAAACAACCTCTAATCATCCACCAGAACTCGACCCTCCCAAACTAGGTCCATGGCAGCTTGCGCACAGTGAAGCGGACCTGACGTCTGTGGGGGGCAGACGGCATCTGAAAAGATCGCCCTGAGAGCTATAGTGACGGACAACAAAATAGAACAAGTAAAGGGTAAAACAACCAGGTCAAAAACTTGCCGATCATCGATATGATGGATACAAAACGTTGCACGAGCCCCATGTTTGCATCCCTTCGCTTGTGGTAGCATGGACGGTTAGAACGTGTGGGGGGGAGGGATTGTGGAAGTTGTGGTGAGCAAAGCCTACCCATGTGTCTGTTTTGCTCATTCAAAGAAAAGGCTGTGGAGCTCATGTCATCAGAGCACTTTTTGCCTCGCAGAACAAACTGGCATTACCAAATTTAGAACTGGCCATACTAAACGAAGTGCGGGTAATACTACAGTTCGCGTTGCTCATACTACATTAAGCTGCAATTGCATTTTCAACAAGAGATTCTGCGCCCCGTCGCAGCTTTTTTAGAGTCAGAACAGGACAGGTGGCTGGGTAAGATTAAAATCGTACCAAAAGAACAACCCCCGCCATAGTAAGGAAGCAAACCCAATGAAACGCAGCATGCAACAAAGTGTTTCTCCAGGGGGCGTGCTCTCTATGTTGACCGATGCGAAGTTTCTCCAGTTGTGTACATATAAACAAATAAGTAAATAAATAAATAAATTAATAAATTAATAAATCAACAACTAAATAAGTAAATAAATCATATATATGTGCAAACGGTGACTTGCTTGGGATCAGCCTAAGGCGACCAAAGAGGCAGTAGAAAAATGCCCGCCCCCCACCCCGCGCCACACATGATTTGCTTGTAACCACCGTTCCCTAAACTCAGAGATTTAATGTCAATGTATAGTACCAAGCGAAATTTCTAAAAACACCCAAAGCAACGCGACGGTAGCAATTACACACAAACACACACCTACTTCTCTATGGTCTCAAGCTGGTCTTAAAGTACCCACCAACCACCAAACCCATGGTGACTGTTCAGATTTTATAGGTTGGTCAAAACAGTGTCAAAACGGTGGAGCATGAAAGCCAGGCTGGGGCCGGCCCTGGGGCAAATGACCGCCCCAAGTCTTCAGTTGCACCGATGAGGTTACATCAAGATCCAAAAACTTCAGCCCTGGCCACGGGTTTGACCCGACTAGTAGAAGAACTTTCCATCTCCGGTTGCTTGCCCTGTCTCGTGCGAGTGAAAACAAGGAAAGCCAACATCGAAGCCACACTAGGTTCAGCAGGGTACAGGGGCTATCCATACGGGTCGACGCGAATCACCGTATACCCCCGAGGTCCGAGCGCAGGCGCTCTTGCCACAGCCAGGGGGGCCAATCACCAAGGCTGCCTGCGGCAACTTAGTGGGGTGAAAAGGTGCGTAAAAGTGTGTGTGTGTGTCTGTGTTTGTGTGACTGTGTGTGTGTTTCTGTGTGTGTGTCTGTGTGCGTGTGTCTGTGTGCGACTGTGTCTGTCTGTGTCTGTGTGTGTGTCTGTGTGTGTAGGTCTGTCTGTGTGTGTAGGTCTGTCTGTGTGTGTCTCTGTGTGTGTGTGTGTCTGTGTCGGCGCGCGTGTGTGTGTGTGTGTGTGTGTGTGTGTGGGTGTCTGTGCGCGTGTCTGTGTGCATGGGCGTGTGCGTGTGCGTGTGCGTGTGCGTGTACGTGTACGTGTGCGTGTGCGTGTGCCTGTGCCTGTGCGTGTGCGTGTGCGTGTGCGTGTGCGTGTGCGAGTGCGTGTGTGTGTGTGTGTGGGTGGGTGGGTGTGTGTGTGTGTGTGCGTGTGCGTGCGTGTGTGTGCGTGTGTCTGTGTGTGTGTGTCTGTGTGTTTCTGTGTGTGTGTGTGTGTCTGTGCGTGTGTCTGTGTGTGTTGTGTGTGTCTATGTGTGCGTGTGTGTCTGTGAGTGTGTCTGTGTGTGTGTGTCTGCGTGTGTGTGTCTCTGTGTGTGTCTGTGTGTGTGTGTCTCTGTGTGTGTCTGTGCGTGTGTCTGTGTGTGACTGTGTCTGTCTGTGCCTGTGTGTGTGTGTCTGTGTGTGTGTGTAGGTCTGTGTGTGTGTGTCTGTGTGTGTGTGTCTGTGTGTGTGTGTGTTTGTGTGTCTGTGTGCGTGTGTCTGTGTGTGTCTGTCTGTGTGTGTCTGTGTGTGTGTGTCTGCGTCTGCGTCTGCGTCTGCGCCTGCGTCTGCGTCTGCGTCTGCGTCTGCGCCTGCGCCTGTGTGTGTGCGTGTGCGTGTGCGTGTGCCAGTGCCAGTGCCAGTGCCAGTGTCAGGGTCAGTGTCAGTGTCAGTGTCAGTGTCTGTGCGTGTGTCTGTGTGTCTGTGTGTCTGTGTGTCTGTGTGTCTGTGTGTCTGTGTGTCTGTGTGTCTGTGTGTCTGTGTGTCTGTGTGTGTGTGTGTCTGTGTGTGTGTGTGTGTCTGTGTGTGTCTGTGTCTGTGTCTGTGTCTGTGTCTGTGTCTGT